TCCTTGCTGTAAAATCAGCAGTACTGAATGGGGCAAGGAATGTTTTTTTCTTGACAAGTATTAAAGCCTAAGGTAGAAGAAACACAGCACTACAGACACAAGAATGGATATCCTCATTTGTTTCCAATAGTCCAACACCTTTGGTAACAGTCTGGATTTCATTTAAGGGGTATTTTAAGAATGCCTGGAAAAAAGCCTTGCATTAAGAAAGGGTTTTTTGACAGGTTGTTTTTTTTTTGGGGGGGGGAAAACACTTTCTTCATCAAAATGCAGACAGATAGTATTCCTTCTGTCAAGGAGTCCTACACCAGTAGGGTATCAGAGAGATTGGATTCATTGGCCTATCTCAAGAGTTCTGGATAAGGCACTGAAACTATGGTCAAGAATGCAGTTGCTGACCCCCACGCTAGAACAAATCGAAGGGGACTTGACACACACGTGTGTAAGCAGCTTTCCTTTCAGTTTTTTTTTTAATTGATTGGTAGGGTCACACAAACAGGTGGTAAAATGCCTATGCTGACTGAAGTCTAGATGATGAGCTTCTAAATGAAGTCCTGATTTTCCATTTAAGAACTCTTAATACCATTTTTGTTTTATTTCGTTACCATGTTCCCACAATTTTTATTTTCCTATCCTCAAAAAAAGTGTTGAAAAGGCCTTAAGATATTAGTTTAGAAATGTGCTTTGAATATGTAAATATATTTAATTTATAGTCAGTTGTGGCAATTTTTTTTGAAACTGGTAAATGGTGAGTGGTTTGTACACACTGCAAATTGCTTGATCTTATCTTTGCTCAAACCGATACTCTACCTTAGCTCTACTCAACCTTAGAATATCTGATGGCTAAACTTAAATTTAAGCTGAGCTTAAATGATCCTACCTTCCTTTAATATATATCATTTGCAAGCTTAGACATATCCCATTATTGCCCACAAAGCATAAAATAAGAAGTAAAATGTATTCTGTTGTACAATACTTTCTGATTAATATATATATCCATTCTCAATTCCAAAATAATTATACTTTTTATCTCAAAAGTTTTACAGCTTTACCACCTCAAGCAATATTTTACATCTGTCAAGAATGATTTATGGAATAATCACTTAAACGGCAAAATGGAGTCCTCAAAGGAAGAGCTGTCAAATATTTTCACCACAAATAACTTTATTAAAATAAGAACTGATATATTGTATAAACAATATTTTGCCTTCAAGTATAATTCAGATCATATAGATATAAGATTAGTGGAAAAAAATTGTGAGATAGTAAGGAATTTATGACATTGCTGCTTTGATATCAGAGTATAATATTTTAATTATGCAGCTGCTAATGCCTAATGGGCAATCCTTGGAAAAAAATCTGTTTCAAAATAATACTTCTTGTGACTTGTATTTATCTACCGCTCTTTTTAAAGAGGGATATTTACATTAAAAAAGAAATTTAATGTGTCTTTAATCCCATGAGTACATCCTGCTACAATTGTGGAGCTACTTGTGCTATGAGACCCTGTAAATCTGGACCTTTAGTTTTGACACCATCTGTTCCCATTAACCATTTTTCTCAGTAATTAACTCTTTTGGTAGCTGTGTAATTGCCTACCGTGACACTACTTGAAAAGGACAGTGGACTAGAACATTATTTGGATTGTGTTAATACCTTTCTAAAAGGAAAAAGTGCGAGGAGAAATTCAACCCAAAAGTAAGCTATATTCTGATAGAAGTACTCCAGAGCAGCTAGTAAGGCTTTTAGCTGCAAAAGTTAAAAACTGCTGTGAAGGCAGCACTGGTGTGGTTGGACAGGGCCTGCTGGGTGCCCAGGCAGTACTGGGCGCACAAGTCCAGGCCATCTAAACAATTACACAAAGCCATCACAACACTCAATGCTTCTCTGCACCCTCCCCACACTGCGCAGTGAAAAGGGAAACAGGCTCCATCCAGGTTACTCATTTATAAAACCATCATACTTAGAATTTTTTTCTCCTTTGACCACTCTATCTTTTGTCCATCATGTTTAAGACGGTGTAGATTCAAGCAATTGCCATATTTTTAATATCAACTTGCAACAAAATTTTTTCCCATCCTTCTGTCCCATCTTTGAGTGAGTAATTTGACCAAAATTAAAGCAGTGAACAAACAGCAGCTTTCAGTCTTCCATCATCACAATGTTTAAAACTCGAGATCCTGCACTTTCATCTACAAAAGTGGACTATAGACCAGTAGAGAACATCAGAATCTTAATTCCCGTGTGTGTGCGCAATACCATTTTTCTATAGCAGGAATTTTCTTTTAAGCTGAGCTTCAAAGCTGTGACATTTTAGAATTACATGAGGTGGTATTTAGACTCAAAAAGAAAAAGCATTATTCATAGAGTGATTCCCTTTCTGATATCTGCATTGCTGGAATTCTGATGACAGATTAGCTTTAAAAGTGATTCCACTGACATTTGCTTTAATTCAAAATATTAGAATAATTTTTAATATAATCAGTGGCTCATGTAGAATAAATGATAGTGTGATGTGGAATAAGGTTTTATTTGCAATTCACTGGGCTTTTAGTCAGGAGTGTGTAATATGGTCTTCAGAACCTTCCGTCAGTGTAACCTTAAGCAATTCACATCTTCTTGAGGTGCCTTCCTCCTCAGTATGCTTAGGATTACGTTAAATATTATACAATGGCTTGCCATGAAATAAAATGTCAAATTAAACTTTTAAGTAGTGGATAATTCATTGGAGTAACTTGGGTTACTCACACACAGAAGGTTACATTTCTGACTGTGCTAGAATTGACCTCTGAAAATTGAAAATTGCTGAAATTGACCTCAAGTTTCATACTCAGAGCACAAATGCAAAACAAGCCACCAACCAGGCACTAAACTTTCACAGTTTTAGAAAATTCTTGAGATTTACTTTGTTTCACAGCCTGGAGGAAAACCTTGTTATGTATCACTATTCTGTATATTGTCACGATATACAGACTATGTTATATACAGGTACATGTATATATGCTATATAATGAAAAATCAAAATTGAAAATTTGAAAAAGTGAAGATGAAAAGTGAGGTATATATTTTTGAGTTATTTATAATAACTATAGAACATGTTTACTAACATTCATTACATTCACCATACAGGTAGTTTCAATTTCATTAGACCACATAGACTTAAGGCTTTATCACATTTTGAAAAGAAATTGAACATTATGTGGAACAAACCAAAAACTCTGTATATACAATCAAGCTGACAGATAGCCATGCATTTGAGTGTCAGACCTGTCTTATATTTTGACAATTTTTGCCTGATTCACCTGTTTAAATTTAGCAGATCATACAGTTCACATGCTCAAATATAGACAACTAAAATATAGAGGCAATTAAAGTAACTATTTACAGAAGTGACATTACTGAAAACCCTTATGCATAAGATTGTTTACAGTAAATAATCTGTAACTCAATGTTCAAAACTATTTGTGAAGGACATGGCAATTTTTATGGACAATATTTCTTTCGTATGTCTCAAACAGATTATAGTGTGTTGCATGATTTCAGAATTCAGCATCTTAGAAAAGGATCTATCTATCTATCTATCTATCTATCTATCTATCTATCTAGTCCTCTGGTAATTGGCAGATAAGAAGTACTTATAAAGGCCTTTTCCTCCCTCCTAATGTTTTGGGAGACTTTGGGACTTAAACTATCACATCTCCAAACAGTGCTCCAGGCTGATGGCTGCGTAAGTTAGCAATAACATTCTCCTTTTGCAATATTATTTTAACACATGCCAGGTTAACACAAACACAGAGTAGATGTGTAAAAGACACACAGTGTCAGGCCTCCTGAGAAATCTATGTCCAAGGCACAGCCACAAAAAATCTTAACCGAAATCTGCTCCAGACCACCAAACCAGATCTAAGAATAAAGGGCTCTACTGAGAATCTGTTACAAAGAGTATGCTTAAATATTGGTAGCGTGGGTAGAATGGTTGGCCTGAGTCCTATCTGAATTAAACCAGCCAATGCTAAAAATAATATTACTTAAGTCTCTCCAAGATAACAACAGAATTATTGAGAACTGGATTGAACTCTGTGACTTTAAAATGAGAGAGCACATTGCATGTGATTCTACAATTGATGTAAACAACACACTGGCACTTCTCCAGAACTAATTTAAGCTCAGCATTTGAATATGAATTTCCTTTTCCTTCTCCCAAGAGTGTACACAGCAAGAGATAAAATAAGGTACACCACGATTATCAATTACTTGTTCATTTGGAAGATAGGTGTTTCTGTAAATAACTCTGGGTAATTAAAAAAACAACCCAACCAACAACAAAACTCTACATATAACTCTTATGTATCATAATTACCTCTCATGTGTGTACATTTTTAAATCTGCAAATATATTTATTCGGTTTTTTCTCTTAAGAGGAAAAAAAGTATCAGCAGATTCAGCCATTCTGCATGTATTGACTCTTTACTGGATAAGAGGGAATGGTTGACAGTCTAGGCAAACCCAAATTTTGACTCTGGCAATACTAGGACAATATCGGTAGCTCAATTGCAGGTACTTCACAATATTTCAGCTCTGAAAAAGACTTGTCCCTTTCTTTATAAGCAAATGCTTTCTTTATGATGGGCTCTTTTTTTCTACTTTTCACTTTGTGATAAAACACTACTGTTTAAATCAAGGTAAGTTTCCTCTATGCTGATTACTTTAAGTGATTTACATCTTTAAACCAACCAAGAGAAAAACTTCTGTTTCAGAGTTGCAAACACTGTGCTGGCTTCATTCAGCTGATAGAGTGAGCGTGCAGTGACACACTCCATACACCCACTACTGTCAGGGCAGATTCCCTTACTGATCCACGCAAATGTATTTCACTGGACTTCAGGGAAATTGCAACACCTCCAGCAAAGCGGCTGGCCAGTACAACATACACACCTCTTTTACCAAATCAACTGCTAACCAAACATGCAAAAAGTTTTGAGAATAAAACGAGACTTTACCATCTTTGTGATAATAGGTGACTTCTACTTTCCTCTCCTCTGACCCCAGCAGGGCTTGAGCAATTTGGGCAATATGATGTCTTTTGGTCTCTGGCCCATGAAGGAAATCACAGGTGCAAGGTTTCTGCATGACATCTGGCCTGGAGAACCCGGTCATCTCACAGAACCCATCATTGCAGTAGATGATAGCACAATTCTGCACTCTAGCATTAGCAATGATGAATTTTTTATCTGCAATAAAAGAAAGTGATGCATTTTTTAGTGCTCTTTCAGCATTTCTTATAGGGTCGATCACAGAGATGAATGCTGAACAACCCTTCTTTTCATGGAATGCCTGAAATACAGAGATTTTCAGTCATTTAATGAAGATAATTTGATCCATAACTTTTAAAGAAACTTCAATTAATTTAGAATACATTAAAGATTAATATAATTCTTTTATTAAGGAAATAAAACCGCACTGTGCAAGTCTCTGTAAATCTCCTTTTGACTTCAAAATTTTGTCTGTTTCAGACTTTACTGAAGCCCAAGCGATGAGTGCCATCCTGTCAGTCACAACTCCAGGAAAGTCCTTGAAAAGTTAGTGGCTTCTTTTGAGGAAAAGTAGAGCCTCAGGAACGGGGCTCTATTTAAGTGAAGGGCTTCCTGGATGTAAGGTCCATCTCAATCTACTCTGTAGGGGTTTTCATTGAGGTGAATGACAGTAAATTTATTAAATTTTAATAAATCTATCTAGAAAGTAACAGAATAAAAGAAAGTTCCCATAAACAAAAAAGGGTGTACGTTAAACAATTCTTATGTTGGAAACATTTTGCAAATTTCACTGAAGTTCTGTGCTTCCATCCATCCTCCTTTCCCAAACTCTCATCTCAAAGACATGTTCAAAAGTTTTAAACTCTCATTAGTTTGTTTCTGTTTACCTTTTTAACACATTATTCCCATTGTAATTATAAATGTGTGACTGTGATACACTTACTGCTAAGAACATTAATTTTTAGCTATTCAAATTCACAAGGCAATTGCTTGCTTTATAAAAGATTTCTTACATGACACCAAGTAAACAGTGCAAGTCTTCAAACTTTTAAATATGTCCATCTTTGAACACAGAAACATACCTGGAGATTTCATTCTTACTACTTCTGCTGTCTTTCAATCATATTGAACTTTCACTATCACTTGCCTATTTAGTAGCTAGTGCATTATTACTGTCAAAAAATCTACACTTCACTACATAAAAACTTGGAGTAGCAACACCAACTTAGCTTATAGATAAATTAGGATTAGCACTGTCTTTTTTTTTTTTTCCTCAAAAAATATAAATATTACATGTGCTAATATGGGTTTAAGAATATGGAAGTATATGAACTGGAATTAATTGTAAGGGTTCGCACCAGACTGATGCTAAAATTATGCTAAATATTTAAATCAATGTACATATATCAAAGTACTGTTTCTAAATTAAATTAATTTTAAGCATCAAGTGATCCTTCTTACAGCTAATAGGAAACCAGAATTCTGGCCAGGAAAAACACTTCAGCTTCAGCCTCCTCGACAGGTAGTAAACTGCTGCATTGGAAAAGATCTCACAGACTCTCCCTGAGGATGCATTTGCACTGGTTTGACAGATATTTTGGACTTACATAAACAAAAGAGAGAAATTTGACAGCTATATTAAATGCAGTCATGACAACAAGGTAAGAGAGTATTTCCTCTTCAATAACTCTTCTGCATATTTTCTGTTTCCTCTAAATCAAAGTCTGAAGTTCTGCTTTATTTTGAAAAGACAATTATTATTAACAGTATTAACAATCATAATAATAAATCTAGCCTATTTTTTAGACATTGCAAAGACAGCAAGATTCTACATTCTGCTTTCAGAGCCATCTCACTGGTTCAGAAGAAGGTAAGAGATATAACTTCTATAGCTGTACAATATGGATACAGTCAACGATAAAAACTATTGCTTGAAATAGGAAGATAGCTCCAACCCCCCTCCCAAAAAAAACCCCAAACCCAAACCCAAACAAGCCCACTAGCCAATAATTCAATTTGGTAATCTGTATTCTAGATTAAAAACATTGCTACTTCTGCCAGGGATCCCCCCCTTACCTCCGGGGTTTTCTTTGCAAGCTACAAACTTAAAAATAGTCTGGAGCTGCTGTCCATTTAGTCACAAGCAGAATAAAACTACTATAGCAAAATAGATAGAAAGCGAGAACTTACTTTGCCCTTCAAATTTTCGTATGATTGTACCCAAAAATGTATTTTGTGGTGCCACATGACCTCTGCGAACAGGCATGTTTGTACAGGTCTTCGGTTTTCTGTGCACAATGACTTCTCCAAGGATCTCCTACACGGCTCCAGCCCAAAGCACCGAGCCAGCTACCCTTTGTGACAAATCATCGTCCTCTGGAGCTCGGAAATCTCTTCCCATTAGCACCACTTCTAGAGACACGCTTTTCCTATTGGAGTCAGATTCATCCCCCAGTTTCTTTCTTTTTCTTTCTTTCTCTCCTTGCTTTCTTTTCTATTTTTTTCCCGGAGGAGCTCGGACGCTATTGTCTGGGGCGGGTAGGGGTGGGGTAAGCAGGAGGAGGTGGCGGGTAGGGAAAGATTACAAGGGTAATCGATCTCTAGCACCAAACATCGCCAATTTTCCAAAGCAAATGGCTGTGACCCGGCAGTTTCCGACGCTGTAGTGGTGGTTTGAGGGCTGGAAGACTAATGTTTCTCCGCTGCCAGAGGGAGTGACGTTTCCCCCCCCCTCCGGGCTTCACCACGGCGCGCAGCAGCTCGGATTACTCAAGCGTGGTTTAGCAAGAGCCAGCCAATAAATCTCTTCAAAACTCGGCGACAAACAGCGGCATCAGGAATAAGCTACACCCCAGCAGCACCGCGACGTGCCACATCCCCCACCGCGGCGGCTGCAGGGGTCAGCGGGGACCGAGGGCGATGGCGGCGGGGGGGCCCCGCTACCTCCGGTAGCCCCGGCGTCCCCGCCCTCCCGGCACCGCCGGCCCCTCCGCGGCCCCGGAGCGCGGCCCGCCGGGCAGCCCCAGGCGCTGGCAGGGCCGGGGGAGGGAGGGAAGCTGGTACACGCCCCGTCTGGGGCGGGGGGCGGCGCGAGTAGGGGTCGATGTTGAGCGATGGGGGAGCGGGGGATGGACCACCGGAGCCCTCGGCATCCTTCCTCCCCCCGGTGGAAGGGATTGCCCCCTCCTACGCAGCGTGACCCGGGCGAGGGCTTCCCCTCGCCTCACGACCCCCTCCTGGGAGGAAGGGGGATTCCCCCGGCGCCGAACGCTGCCCCCGGGTTGCCGAGCAGGTGCCAGGCTCCTCTCGGGGCCGAGCGAGCGGCGCGGAGGGCGCGCCGGGTCCCGCGGGCGCGGGGGCTGAGCTCGGCAGGGAGCCCTCGCCCGGCCCGCGGCGGCCCCGAGCGGCTGCCGAGGCCGCCCCGTCGCTGAGCCGCTGCCCGGGGCCGCGCTCCGCCCCGGGACCGGGGCCGGTCGGGGCGCGACGGCCGCTCGGAGCTGGCCGTGGTGCTGGGGCCGCCTCGCCGGCGCGCACGGAGGCGCCGCTGCCCGCGCTCGGGCCCGGGAGCGCCAGCCTCCCCCCACCCGGCTCCTCTCAGCTTCTCCCGTCCCACAGGAACGGCTGGGGAGGCTCCCGGGGGAAGCGGGTATTATTTTCAGGCTGTAATTAAGGCTTCCTGCGCTACCCAGCAGGCAAAACGGTGTGCGTTCAGCACGGCTCGGCGAGGTGACACGGGGAGGGAGATGGGGGCAGCCATGCGATGCTGGAAAGGCATCTCTAGGGTGGCGCAAAGCACCGGCGGCTTCTTAATAAACTCATAGGGCAAAAAAAGAGAGGCACCTGAGCACCGTTCTTTGTAATCGCAAGCACAGGATATTGAGCCGGCAAACCACCGCTTCCCACCTGTTCTTCCACAGCACAAGCAGGTGTTTCCTTATTCCCGTGAGCTTTTCAGAGGTGTGGCCCTTTGTGTCACTGTCACCGTGTGCCATCCTCTATATTTATCAGAGGTAGGGCACAGTCTGTTGAGTATGAGGGTGCATTTCTGGACTAATTTAATTTAATCTCAGTGGAATCATCCTGGATTTACACAACTGTGAATGGTGTCTGAAAATAAAATTTATATATGCATAAACTGTATTAAGATGGCTTCATAGTAATTGTGTACTAATTACAAAGCCTCAGCTACATTAAGGGATACATAATCAGATATGTAATCAATCTTAGGAAGTGAGCATTGCTTATTTGCAGAAACAAATGTTAAAATCTCTGTATTCAGAGGTATGAATCAAAGGGAAAACATCCAAATATTTTTTGTAATAATATTTGGAGAACTCATGTTTTTGACTCTGATAAACATTAGAGAAAAAAAGTCTTAAAATATTTTTGAATACTTTTCCTTTGGAAGGTAGATGAGCCTTCAAGTTGAATTTTTCTCTTATTGCTCTTTGTCATAATGACAAAGAAAATACATCTCTGAAAATGTATTAAAGTTCCCAGACACAGTAGTAGAAAGAGTGAAGAGGAAAATATTTATTTTAACACTTTCAATAATACCTAACTTCTAGTCAAGTCATAATGGCCAGCAGTGAACATCATTCTCATTTTCACATTAAAAATGTCACTTTGATATATCTTGAACAGCAGTAGAAAATAATCACGATAAAACTGTGACCTTTACTGAACAATCAGCATTTGCTTCTAGTATTGAACAGTTAGTAGCAAACTAGATCAAATACAGGCCAGTAGAGTCCAGAGTCCAGTGCTTTAGATGCCTGTCTGGAAAGAAAACAAGAAAAAAAAATTAAATATAAAAATACATTTAAGAATTCAAAATTCACTGAAGCCTCATCTTTATGTTAAATTTGAGAGCCAAACTATGCTTGCCTGAATACTGAAGGCAGCAGAACTCCATGACTCTGTAAAACCTTTTTTGTTCTGTCTCCCGATGGTAGCTTGAACTTTGATGCTGATTACCTGAATGTATATTATAGTCCTCTTTTCCCCCCCTTTTTATCCACCTTGGTTTGTTCGTTTAGAACTGATCAAGATAACCCCAATGAAAGCAAGATAACTGCTGCTGAAAGACAAGATCTGAGATGTGGTTTTCAGCAAGGAAAGAAGTGACAAGAATGATGGGTTTTAATAACTACAGGAGCAATAGGTGACATCAGAAAATCTTTCATTGTGGTGATTTGCACTCCTGCAGTCTTGTAGATGATCTATTGCTCCTGGAGTGCTTAATGCTCGTTGTGCTTATTGCTTGTTAATTTTCTGTAGCAAGCCAATAGAGAAGTGCAAGAGGAAAATATATTAAAATTGGACAGCTAACAACAAGCACAGAGAAAGTAATGTGGAATAATTTGCATTTGATTGGGAAAATATGCATGCAAGTGGGAAAGTTTGAATTCATTATAAATGTGCGTCTCTAGTGTGATTAAAGAGATGGAGAATGCCATAGAGATATATGTTTTATCTATAAAGCTGTACCGTTACCAACTTTGCAAGAGACCGAAGTACCGAGGGAGGCGTCTCCGGAGCTCAGACCCCTCCGGCGTGGCCGATCCCGTGTCCTCTGCCCCCTTGTGGCATCGGTCCTTGCGGCACCACCCTCGCCACAGCCCAAGGACAGCTCCCTGAGCTCGGCTGCTCCTCAGCAGAACTATATTTGGCATTTCCTGGCCTCAAGGAGAGCAGCTGATTTTAAAATAGTGGTTACAAGGTTTTCACTGGCATTTTAACTACTTCCTTCTCAAGTTCCTTAAGAGAATTTAGAGGACTATATGCCTAAAGATGTATTACTGATGTGTTTCGACACCTTGGCAGTTAGCAATTAAACCTATAATTGTCAGGAAAAGCTGGCTCTGGGGAAATGGCTCTAATCATATTTTCCATCATATTTTTGCTGGAGAAAAAAAACCAAAACAACAGGACTCAGATTTAGTCAAGCATTCTTATCATACTTGACTTTTCAAAGTCTTATGTTTGCCCTCCTGTACACAGAAGTTTAAGTGCATTCATTTTCAATAAACACTTTTTGTACTAGAGCAAAATATGGTTAATCCTTCCTTCCTTCCTTCCTTCCTTCCTTCCTTCCTTCCTTCCTTCCTTCCTTCCTTCCTTCCTTCCTTCCTTCCTTCCTTCCGTGCCCTGCCATTGTTCCAGCTAGCATAGGTATTTGTGTTGTTTTTACCACATATATCCTGCATGACTCTAAAAACTTTTCATCCATCCACATTGTATATGCTTACAATTTTAATAAGGCTGGAATTGTCTTCAGAGCTATCAAGAGCAATACTGAAACCTTATTTTGAATCCCATTTTAGGTTAAGATGGCCTTTGTGATTCCCTGACAGGTTGATGTCTTTTCTCATCACCTTTAGTTTATATCAGTCTTGCTTTCTCATCTCTTTTATGTCTTTCCACAGCTTCAAGATATAGCTCTAGATTTTGTTTTAGTCCTTCACAATAATAATGATAATCATTTAGATTATTACTGTCTGCACTTCAGGCTCAGGCAAAGTATGCAGCTGCTGGGGACTGCCAAATTACTTCTATTGGAGAAGATAGAAATCAACTGCTTGAACATCAGGAACATCCAAATAGCAAATCTCTGCTGATGCTCCTGAGAAAGGCACTGGGTGAGTGTGGTGGCAAATGCTGCTGCCAGAACTGGTTCCTTCAAGCAGTACTGTGTCTTTGCTTGCACTCTGCTGATGCCTCAGACACCAGGTCAGTCTTAATCCTAAAGCCACATGGTCTACACAGCTACCTACACAGAAAAATTGGAATGCTTCATTATTGGTGTTACAAAATTCACCTTGAATTTAGATCTCATTATGGTTATTTTGTGTTTCACTTTTTCCATCTAAAATAAAGGCTCCTATTCCTGGCAAGACCGCTAATGTCAATGAGATTACACAAAGGTAATTATTATATTTTGCCTTAAGGCATACATCATCCTTGTCTGCATATGGGTCTTATTAGTATTCAGGACTTCAGATATCAACACAAGAGAAAGACTGTCAGGTTTTTAGGATGACAAAGGAATTGTCTGCATGTAATTGCAGTCTAAAAAGTGATTAAAATTTTCTATTTAATTTTACAGCTAGTTTAATCAGTAATAAAAAAAGTTATATTTTGGATTTCATTCAATGTATATTTTACATGTAATTCACTCTAAGAGACAGTAATTTGATTACCAGAATTTGAATTATAAATGCAAAATCCATAAGGCAGAACTTCTGTGTGCTAAATTTCCTAGTCTATTAAAGGTAACATCACATGGGAAAACAGAAAGACAGCAAGCAACTTTACTTTTTCTGTAAGGATTCACAAAAAGCTGTTAGTTATTCTACAGTATCCATTGCTACTATTATGTGCTATATTAGAATGCCTAGGGATTCAGAACATCATGACTTAGGATCATTTTAGAATTAGCAGGTACAGGTATGAAAAGAGAATTACAAAAACCATCAATATATCCATTTACTCAATGCCCTGCCAGTGGATAGTTCCCTTTAGTATATTTGCATTTGTATTATT